ATTGGGTACTTACGGTCCAGGTGCTTCATCTTCTCCGGTTTGTGAGGTTTGACCTTGGAGGTCCACCGTGACGAGTCCTCCCACATTGTTTACATCCATTTCCAGCAGGGATTCCGCCAAGATCCGCAAATCATCATCCGTCACCAGTCCTCAAAGAAAAGTTTGGACGTTTTTGGACTATCGCGAATGACTCATTCCAGAACAGTAATGACAAGCGAAAGAATTTGAGAGTCGTCCTACTGGTCGACCCGCCGCAGTGCTTCCGGAAATCCTGACAGCAGCTGCCCTCCTGGATGCACTCGTCGTGGCATTGACAGGGGAAGCCGTCGTCGTGATCGATGCCGCACCGATCCTCGCATCCGAGGCAGACCGTTTCGTGATCCTCGCAGCAGTCAGAGAGACTGACGCAGAGCCAATCGCATTGGCACGGCCGATCGTGATCTTCCCCGATCGAGTCGCATCGTCCGGCGCAGGAAGTCGGTTCCTGGCGAGAGCCTAGCAAAGCCGATTCGGGGAATATACGGGAATCGGTTTAATACGTGTATATATATATAATTTATATTTATGGAGATCGATCGTGAAGTGACAGACCCAAGGACGAGGTGGATGAGTGGATGAGAAAGAGGAGAACTAGAACATGCCAGAGAATGAAGCACAAGTTCCCCATCACTGAGGATGTATTTTGTATATGTTTGAAGGGAAGAAACAGCCTATGTAGGAGCCGCTTCTGACGAGGGGAAACTTCCCTTGTCAATCCTCGCATGTGGCCCGGCTCCCGTGCTTGCGTTGGACCGCGACGGGAATCCACAGCTGCAGCTTCCCTTCTTCGTTTCTCTCGTGACTTCGGCTTGGTGACTGCAAGGACTTCGGTTTGTGATGATGGGTGGGGGAGGGGTGGGGGGGTTGCGTGGGAAGGATATCTCTTTTTATTTTCGTCGCTTTTACTTATTTCACCACTTTTCGTTTCGTTTTCGTCGTCATTTCTGTTATTTTTATGTCCAATATTGCCTTTTAGCCCAGTTTTTCTGAGAGCAGTAGTTTTTCAGTAAGAGGGAAATGGACGATTGCAATTCTGTTCTTACCGAAAGGGTATGCACTTCATCCAATCATTCGTTGCCGTACGGAAACGATAGAGACTCGAATTCCTTCACATTTCTGGCGTCTCATTCGGTTCGAAAATGATACTGCGAAAATACGCAATCCCCACGTGCACCATTGAAAAACACTGGATGAAAAATTCCTTCGCCAGTCAGATGAGGCAGAGGGATTCGGGCGATGCAGCAGGCCGTGAGCAGCAGGCCGTGAACAGCAGGCCGTGAACAGCAGGCCGTGAACAGCAGGCCGTATTTCCAGTTCAGGACTGCCGCCAATGCTGCTGCGACCTTAACGGTTCCCGTCCCATCCCAAGGAATTTTCGAGTAGGGTGACCAGGTTTTTTTGCCGACAGTTGAGGAGATTAAAAAAATCATTGGATCGCGAAGATGAACAGAGAAAACCTTGTCGAAGTTTTTTTTTTTGGAAAAGGACGTTGCCGAGACGTTGAGTAATTTTCAACGTTGAACAGTTTCTCATTTATTCATTGCTGGAACGCGAAATGAACCTTTT